GGGCAGCCGCCCTACAGGGTGAAACTTCTGGAAGAAAAAAAGAGTGGGCTCTAGAATGGAGTCAAAGCAACGTGGCACGAAACTGAAGTAGAGAGGGAGGGCTTGGGGCCAAAAAAGAAGTAGCCATGTTTTTCTGGGGACGGTGGTCGCACAGTGGGCACGATACAGACCCTCATGAAGCAGGGAAACACAGGGCCCTACATATGCAGGGGGAGAGAAAGAAATGCCATGAACAGGACAAAAAGAAGTAGCAGATGAAAAGCAAAGCATGGTGATCAAAGGGGAAATGGGGTCTTGGTCAGGGTTTGCAGTATGCCCTCGCTCTGGTTCTCGCACCTGACTCTCCAAGCCATGTTGTAGGAGGCCGGGGATGCGATACCCGATTCCCTCTCATCTCACCGCGCATACAGGACAATCTGAGTGATTACCCAACGACGAACCGATGCGGCAAGGCCCGTATGCCGCTGGCTCTTCATGGCCGCGCAGCCGGTTACACCTGAATGCCGCGGCTTAGGCGACAAAATTACAGAAGCGGCCAGTCGATCCCACGCATTGCATCAGCATTCGCGTCCACAGCTGACGGATTTATCGTCGTGAAACTCGGTTGGTCGGTATACAGGGAGCTACCGAGATCTAGAGGCACGGTCGAGCTGCACGATTGACGAAATGCGGCAGCGGAAGCGGGCACGCTCACCGATGAGCATCTGGGGCGCCCGAGAAAAGGGCCGATTGTGCAATTTGATCTTTGTGATGGCGACGCGAGATCGGAAAGTATGCTTTTTTGCATCTTGTGTGAGCATCGGGGCACTCGGCTGGAGGTGGGGAAGCGGCTGGCGGGCGGCCTAGGAGGAAGAAAGGGCTTGCCGGCACACGTGTCGTTGAGATGCCCGCCCAGCACACTGAGGCCAGCGACGCCAGAGCATCTTGAGGGAGTCCCAGAAAGGAAGGCTGTTGCAATTTGATTGGTGGGTATCTTTGCCGTTAACCGGTAGGTTTGGTGTAGTGCGCGCTGCGTCTATGCCATTTGCACCCCCGCCTATCACACCTATCACATCTGCTACTCGTCGCAGAGGCGCAGGCACACACACACACACACACATACACACACACCAGCTCGCCTATCTGTATCGGAGTTTCCGCACGCATCAGCTGTCCTCGTTAGACCTGGCGGACCTTATTCATCTCAAAACTTGCCATGGCCTCGTGGGCTCGAGTCGATTTGTCGCAGATGCCACGCTCTCTAATGCCAACATCGAGGGTACGCTAGACATAGTTTGCTTCCTTTTCGAGCGTTGTGCAGAGAATCCTACTGCGGTTACACGCACCCGTCCCCTAGATCTTGATGGCAGGGAGCGTTCGGTGGGGCGCATAGAACGTACTCGCCGACTGAAATTGGTCGTCTTCACGGCCAGTCCGAACTGATGTTGACTAACAGATTGTGTGGATAGATAGATAGCAAAATACAATCAGTGGTCAATTTGGAGCTTCAGTTGCGAAGAGATGGACCCGGAAGCTGGTCAACACCATAGTGTCTTTGGCAAGTGCCGCTGTAGAGTGTCGCCCAAGCCCTGCTTTGGCTGCTCGTATACCGGTGCGGCCGTTGCTCCTCCACATTCCGCTATTGCCTAGACCTAAGAGTATGGCTCCCCGCCTGTACCTGTGCAGATGCAGACGAGTCTTGACTTGATGACCCCCCAAGCTTGTCATGGAATGATACAAGGCTTCAGACATGTCGTCTCGTCTCATACACGCACCACTCATCACCATATCTCACGCCCCACCATCATCGTACCCGCGGTTGCGGATCACTCAGGCACATTGGCATCGCTTTCTCAGATCATGCACCTCGCTTTCAAAGGCGTTGGTGTCCATCCCGCTGATCCTTCAATGTTATGCGCCTCCCCTGTTGGGGCAACCCCAGTCGTCATCAACATTTTCCATTCTGTGCCTATTCTTCGCGCCCAGCCTGCTAGCGTGTAGTCGGGGGTACATCAAGACCGGACCTTGAATGAAGCGAATGCACCCTTGCCGTGCAGTTTATATTTGCAACAGATCTGGTGAGGGCTCAGCTGCGGGGCGGCAGGGAAAATGACTCAAGGTCCACACCACCTTGGAGGCACAATGGTGTGTGTGGCTGGAGATTTTGAACCCCTTCAGTCCTATGTCCGCTCTTCTGCACGTAATACTTGTGGGTCTAGAGAAAATGAAGCCAGTCAGAGCCAACGACGCGCATGTTTAGTGACCATGCAGACCACAGAAGAGCTTGATTTTCATGACGCTATTACCGCTGTATGCACGTAAGGGATTAGCGTACCGAAGTTTCTGGACCCAGATACCGCCTCTTATGGATCTCAATATCATCGATCTGCTGTTGAACGTGCGGCGCGTAGGGCGCCATCTATGTGATCGCTGACCGATGAGACATCGTTTCACCTGCTACATGCGATACAACAGGACCACAAAGTAGCTGGTACATTGGGAATAGACTGTTCAAGTGGGTCGATACCGCTACCCACGCGAGATCTGTGTACCACACGCAGTATGAAGGACAAAACGCCTGGCAGCAAGAATGCTTGCCCAGGAAGGATCATCTTGCATCAATGTCATCTTGCTCCACGTGTTGTAACGTGATGTGGCATGTCGCAAACCCATCAGCTTGACAGGCATCATCAACAGTCTGCAGCTCGTGCAATCAAAGTCGGCTTTACATGCCCCTCCAAGATTAAGCTTTGGGAAATAACGTCTGTATCGCGGTGGAGACTATCCCGTCCTGCATGCATTTGATTATCGTATCTTGCAGGCCGGCATTTGTGCTGCATGCGTTGACCGGTGGAAACTTTGGTCGTCCTTTATTCCAAGGAGTGGATAACGATAGGTGCGGTGAGTATAGGCTCAGGGTACACAGTATTGAGGCATATGTCCGCCTACTGCAGCACATGGCCGCAGTTGAGCCTGCAGTTCGGGTCCAACATATGCAAGATTATTGCCTTCACCGAGATGAGACGTGTCACCGCTCAAGATTTCAGGTTTCGTGGACTTTTGGTCTGGTGATGCTCAGAAGTGACGAATGCCACTCTGCCACACATGTGCAACAGGACAGCGGTGTGACGAGACAAATCATGTACAAGTCTATCATGGTCTGAAGTAAAGCTGCTACGATGAACCCTGGGGGCGAAAGGATTGACCATGTGGTGCAGCACTGACGAGCTTCCAGCCTGCTTCCAGAGGTCGGGAATAAATGGGTACTCACTGAAGCTTGGAAGGACTTTGCAATCGTAATACCTCTCATCATGCTTGGTATTGCACGATCCTTCGCGCCTAAGGAATTCTTGTAGACCAAGGTCACATTGAAGTATTCGCAATGTGACTCTAGTTAGACTCGTCCATGGAGCACAAGTATTCCGGTGAACAGTCGACGCCTCAAGAGCGGTGTTGATACAAGTGTGGTTGTGTATGCCCATCTGCGGTCGTTGCGGTGTAGACACACAGGCTTGGGCGATATGAAAGCTGTCAGGGGAGTGTGTGAACAGCTGCAACCACACAACGATGTTGAACTCGATCTGGTGGTGAGCGCAGGGAACAAGGGTGATGAAACACCTGAGCGGCCCCGGGGAAGCGACCGGGCCTATCCGCCTGGACATTGACACCTGGGGCGGACATGTCTGTCTAACCTTGGAGGGTCTGACAGGGCAGCTCAGCGCCTTGGCGTCGTCGGGTGTACATCCGTGCACACAGTCTAGCGATGCGCACCCTCGTGCGTCATTGAGCTAGCATAAAGTTCAGAGGAACGATTCGCTTCCTAACCTATCGACCTCTCCAAGAGCGGACGCTAATATGAGAGGTGAGCTAAGAGGCAGATCGCAGCCTAGATTCCTCCGAAGAAGGGCCTCGGCATGCTACCGCTGGTTCCGCGCGCCGCCGCCACTGCCGTCCGCATTAGTGGACATGGACGGCATCCACTGAAACATGATCCGGAAAGGAAACGCGCATTCCGACAACAGTAAAAGGTGCAGTGCCGGGCTGCTATCGTCAGTTTTAATCAAGGGAAATGCGCCGTCTTGATTGGCTAACTATGGTCAAGTCGATAGTCTCAGACGTTGGCCTTCCGCTCTCTTTGTTTGAATGAACACCTAGGGAAACGCTCACCGTTAGGAGCTCCCTCAACAACGGGACCCGGTGAAGAGATCAGCTTGTAATTGTGAGTCGGTGAGTGAGCGTTTTGCAGACGCCAAGAAGCGAGATTCGATGCATCTCACCATGGTGTCCTGCCCTTGTTTGAGGCTACTGCAGGTCCACGATTTCGGACAATGAAGGTACTAGCCATCTTTCACCTTTCCACCCAGCGGCGTCATCCTCATCGGTATTAGATCTGGCCGACGATTTCGAGCCACATGGAGGAGCGGAAACCCTGCACCTCGGGGCATTGTAGCCCAATCTATGAGGCTGAATTGAACCATCCCCGTCGGCCTGTGGGAAAGCTCGATCCGAGAGAGATCAGTGGCAGACCCTAAGGCGAGTGTGTGCAGGGGAGTGGCACACATATTCCACAGGGGCTTGCCACGCAGTCTGCAGGCGTTTCATTCTCGAATCTCCTGTGGTTGACCAAGGGACATGGACCTCATCCTGGAAGGTGCAGGAAGACTCTGTTGGTCAGACGATTTGCCGCTTCCCTCTTCTGATAGGTATAACACTGCTGGGCATGGATAGCATCAACAGGGATATTCGTTGGATATCGAGTGCATCTGTTGGCAGCATCCTTGGCCGGTCAAGGACAGAGAGACGGATTGACCGCTATCCCGACCTCGGTACATTGCAATGCCGTAGTGTCGTATAATTCAATAGGGCATGTACGTAGGTCAATACTACGGTGCAGTTCCCCTGCAGCCACCAGGCCTGTTTCCAGCATTTGGCGTGACATTTCAAATAGAAATCGATCAAACGGTCGTCTATCGGATCGAGTACCAGGTATCGGGTGCGGTAATCTCGGTCATTGCACAAGACTTTGGCTGATCAAACGTGCGAGCGCCTCGTTTGAAGTTTAATTCAAAACATGGCGTTTTCCATCGGGCAGTCCTGGATTCATAGTACTAGAGGCCGTTGGCGGCACATCAAATGGCGCAATAGCGACGGAGGGCACACCGGGAAGCACGCGCCGTGTATGGCTTCCGACTAGGTACGTCGGCGACGTTGGCACCCCAGGTAATATGAACTCACGGTTGGGCCACAGCTGGTGGCGGCTCGCCATGAGTTTGATCGTCCGGAAACGCTGGGCATCAAGAGCTCATAGCCACGTCCAGGGTGTGGTAGGATTTGCTCAATCCGGAATGGCCACAGGTTGAGAGGTGTAGTATGTGTCTATTCGAAGGACACGCATGGCGAATTGACCCGGTGGACCGGAAGCGGGGTCCACTTGACCACTCATGTGGGATGAATGTCTTGCTTCAAGATTGCCGTAATCGTGTGAAGTAACATCTGGCGCTAGCGTCTGGCACCTGCCGCACGTGACTCTCAGCCTCTTGCCCAGCTAGCAACATGAACATCCATTGTCCTCACACCATGGTCGAGCAGAGAGACGACCAACACAACCCGACCAGCGCATCGATATTGGAAATGCGGTATCCAACCACCATGGCGCTTGAAGCCAGGGACGTCGAAACATTGCCAGGATGGGGCGGCATTGCGCTGCCAGATCCCCGATGACAGTCCGGGAAACCCATACCAGCTAGATCGCGTCACTATGGTGGTCGCCAGTGCCAGTACCAGTGCCATGGCCAGACGCCGCCATCATTAGCTAACGTGTCTTAATCGTGAGGCGCCCTATTCGTAGGTGGAGGGGGCAGGTCGTAAGCTTGTCCGAAAGTAAGCGTGATTGGCGAGGTGGGCTTCATCTGCGGTCCCGTCAACGCCCCGGGAAGAAGCGTCGCCCGCCACGCCGCCGTCGATTATCGGATGCAATAGCGCATATCTGCACCCACGTGTGTATGTACAGAAGACCGTGAGTCGCGCTTGGCACTGCGATGCGAAACCAGAGGCAGCGCAGCCACGATAAGCCAGTATGCGATGATCCTCGCCGGGATCCAAGCCTGGCCTGAACGAATACCCGTGCCTGGTCGAGCGGATCTAACAACGATTCCCGCGCTTGTATCAACAGCTTGTCAACAGCTAACGAGACTTGGGTCAGTTATGGGGCCATTACATTGCGAGCGCGACACCAGCTCCCCGTTCAGCTGTAGGAGAACAGGTCCCATATCTGCTCCAATGTAGTAGGCCTGGCTGACATTGGAACATTGGCAGTCATCAATGTATCACCTAATAAAGTGTGGCTGTGGCGCCTTGTCCTTTCCAACCCCCACACTGGCACACTGGCACATGAGACGGCGACGCTATGCGTCCGTTCACACTTGCACTTGGGCCCTACCCCGGCTCCGCCTTGAGACCACATCCTGGTCCGCTGCCGTGCCCCGTACCCCCATTATTCCCTGCTGGTCAGCTTTGGACTAGAAACCTTCAGTCCATCTCTTAGCTCCATGCGAGAGCGATGTTCCTTGTCCGTCCTGCTGCAACCATGTTCGCTCCTGGCTCCTGTTGCTAGGCCCTTCGGCTTGATCCACAGAATCAGCATCCTTGTCTCGCGGGATGCTCAGTCGTAGTGTATTGAGTTGGCCCATTCATATGTAAAGCCCAAACGCTCCCTCAACCAAGGCCAGATCAGATCGATCGAGCATATCTACACTACTCCCACGTCATTCAGTCCTTCTTCAGTCAACACGTCCTCTACCACAGTATTGAAAGCTTTCTCTTTCCGACTTCTTTCGGCCCAAGCTGCACTTACTGCCCACCTATCCGAGCCCTTACCGCCAATATTGTCTCCGGACAGAGACTCTCTTCAGCACACTGTCCATTCCGCGGCACTAGCTTCTTCTACTGCAATGGCTGCCGTTGTTGCTTCTCACCACATGGGTCTTTGGCAAGACCGAAGGGAAACACCAGCCCACATTCCCAACATGCACCTCTCCAACATGATGCCCTCCTACGACGCTTCGCGGACAGTCTCAAACGCTCCCGTCTCTCGCAGTTACCAACCAACTTCGTCTCACATGGACATCAACATGCCTCTCTACTCAGCAAACGGACTCCCAACCTCAGTGCCATACCAATCAGGGGCTTTTGCCTACGATCCCACCCCGGTAAATGCGTACAACATGCAACAACCATCATACTACCAATCCAACATTCAGCACCCTGTATCATACGCCCCGACCTCCGATGTCCAGCAACTCCCCACTGTCCGAGATGCGCGCAACGTCTTCAACAACATGGTCAAGTCCGAGAGCACATCACCAGTACAGTCGAACCCAATGTACAACAACACTGGCTACTCAGCCGACATCAAGCGCTCCACATCAGAGCCAACTGAAGGCACCAGTGCTTCTTTCGCCACAGACGTCGACACCCTCATGCGGGCCATCCAGGCGAAGCAGACCACAACTCCCCAAGCATCAGAGCCCAAGGTAAATTCACTCTCCTTTCTTCGAAGCATTTCCGTGCTAATAATCAACAGGAGGAAGCAGTCAAGGTTTCTCAGAAGCCCCGCAAGCGATACCAGTGTACTATCCCCAACTGCAACAAAAGCTTCTACCAGAAGACGCACCTTGAGATTCACATCCGTGCCCACACTGGCGCAAAGCCATTCAACTGCAAAGCACCAGGTTGCGGACAGTCGTTTTCTCAGCTAGGAAACCTCAAGGTCAGTTTTATTCCCGGGTTACTTCCAAATCCGTATTAATCCTCAACAGACACACGAGAGGCGACACACTGGCGAGCGTCCATACAGCTGCGACATCTGCGGCAAGACCTTTGCGCAACGCGGCAACGTCCGAGCACACAAGATTGTTCACCAGCAAATCAAGCCCTTCACCTGCAAACTTGACGACTGCGGCAAGCAGTTCACCCAGCTAGGAAACTTGAAGGTACGCTGCACCACTTCCATTCTCCCCTATCATCACTGACAATTCGCAGTCACACCAGAACAAGTTCCACGCAGCTACCCTTCGCTACCTCACCCAGAAGTTCGCAACCATCACTTCCGGAGACTGGGTGTCCCAAGAAGACAAGGAGCTTTGGGAGTACTTCGCGTCGCTCTACAAGAACTCCAACAAGGGCATCAAGGGTCGCGGCAAGGACCGACGCATCTCGGCCATGTCCTCGTCTGCATCTTCCTACCCCTCATCATACGCCGGCATGCCAATGGTTCCCATGTCAAGAAGTTACGCCGGGTCATTCCACCAGCAAAGCAGTGACCGCAGCAGCCGCAGCTCGTCCATGTCTTCCGACTCGCTGCACCGCGTCGACAGCGCATACGACTTTGGCGCCCCGATTCCAAACCCCTACCATCAGCAGCCAGGCACTGGATACGACGACATGGTCTTCCCCGAGCGCAAGCTCTACTGAGATTCGCTAGAGAGTTGAAAGTGTCAGTTTGCACCGCCCTGGTAGGCTGGGCGAGACTAGGAGTTCTGGGTTGTCGGCGCTGGGTAACAAGTAGGCATTGGGGTCACGGGTGACTACCCAAGCTAGCGCAGCGAAGGGTATAGTCCCTCTTATTTTTTTTTCCCTTAATTTTTTGGTAGACATCGGCGTCGTGGCATGGTACGGAGCATCACACTAATGTCTCTTACGCATATTCATGTTTTCTCATTACTAGCTCAGACTTCATGTATTCCTATCTCATGTACGCAGTCATGCATTTCCATAGTTAGCTATGCTTAAGCGCCCCCAAAAACTGTACCAATACCAATAGCACTTCGAAAGAAGGAGCATATACCAAACCCAATCGTTCCCCCTAGTCTTTGCCTCGCTGTGCATGCGTCCAAGACACGACATGCTGGAAGGGGGCGTTGTGTGGTGCAGTTTCCTTCACCGCTCCGCATAGTGCAAACGGCTAAGGTATGCTCGCTGTCATCCAGCTCATGCATCCCAGGTTGCGGCCTCGGATTCGTCTCAGGCATTATTCGCGCAGACTTGGGTTCACAGTGCAGAAATCAGGAAGCGAGATGAGCGGTCGAGTTTCAGAGGATCGTGGCGTCATCTTGCATGCCCAAGTTGGACATGTGAGTGGGGTCCATTGCTCCTGGTTGTCAAAATCGAGATAGCAAGTGAGATTTGGTCGACTACGGCTATTTGCCGTCTACTGCCGACGAACTACGCACTATGACAGGAAAGTGGGTTAATGCTATGCGCCGCGCCGCGACTACTGTACAAGAGCTGAAGGGCCACTTAGTGGACCTACGGTTGTTTGACAGGCCGCGCCAACGCCCAAACTTACGAACCTTTCTTAGACCTCACCGACTCAACTCACCAACGGCAACATTCATCCGCTGACTCGCTCTCGCCCTCGCCCTCGCCCTCGCCCACGACGCAGGCCAGCGCCTTCACCGAGCCTAGCAACGGGCATGCTACGCTTTTTGTCAAACCTGTCAAGCAACTTTGGCCGCAGAACTTCCCCGGGCGTGGGTATTGGCCAGATAAAGAGCAGGGTGGATAGCAAGGCGAAAATAGTGTCTATCCCGCGCCGCCGCGGTCAGATCTCAGACTAGGTTCCCCAAACTCTAACATGCACGTCTTCAGAAGAGGATGTACGACTTTTTATCGCTAAGCAGCCAATGACCGCACCGGACTCTGCCCAAGCGCCTTCGGCCTCTCCATCAAGTCAGACCATGGTATACTGCCGCCAAGTTGCCGACGACCAAGACTATCACGTCATTCTCGAACCAGATCGCTGGGTAAGATGAAATGAAGCGAGGCATCTCAAAAGCCTCATTCTCAGCAACAGGCCTTGTTCCAAACTGATGACTGAACATTCGCCTGACACTTGACACTTGACATTTATCCAAGTGTGGGGACTACTCTCACAAGCGGGCTATGATCTGCAGGCTCCCAAGTGTCGATCTGACCGCCTACGCAGGTCCAGACGTCTAGAATGGCATGACGTCTGTCTCGCAACCTTCCGACTCATTCCGACTCAGTTTGTACCGGATAGAGTGAGATCTTGGACCGGGAGATATCTCGCTGGGTTGGCGTCATTTATACCTATTACGGCTGCCATGGTAATCTTCACGACCGCAGAGTGGGAGTTATCGTATCATGCATCGATCGTGGGGTGTCGGTACTACAAGGCCCCGTCGGACCGTGTTTCTTATCTCCAGTAATATCCGGGGCTGCTACCAAGCTTAACCGTGAATCGTACCATGCGTCCAACCTGGCTGTTAGATTTTGCAGTGGGTGGGTGGGAAGTTGTGCAATACGGCCATGCAAAGAGACGCGTGTCATTTCATTGCATCGGCCTGCGATTGTTTTGGACATGTTGTTCGTATAGCGTGGGGAGCACTTGTCATTCCGTCTTCTGTACAGCTTCGCTCTCGCACTCGCATGCGGCCGATCCAGGGCGTCGCCCCTTACGTAGCCCAACCGTGAACGAAACTTCATTTTTCTTCCTCGCCTCCGCTCTTTCCAACGTCTTCGTTGACACGTTGTGCAGGCACACTCAGTTCGCACGGTCACCAGCACATTTTGTTAGGATCTACTGGCTAATTTCTCTTGTTGCCGTGGAGCGCCGCAACGGCCCGCCGTCGCAAATGGCCGTAAGCAAAGGTCGCCCGCAGAGCCCAAGGCCTCGCCTGGGCCGCTGTCCGTCTCAGAAAACCCCTGCAAAACGATACATCTTGGTCGCTCTCGTCAACATGCTGGTCGTCAGCTCAGCTCCCCCTGGTAGCTCGGTTCACAAAGCTCCGAATAGGGCTTACCGATTCGTCGGGAGTCTGAGCCGTACGACATACCCTGAACTACTTGGAGAGGGTCTATCGAGTCAGTGCCTGGCAGCCTGACGGCCTGTCTGCTTACGAAAAGTTCGGTTTTTTTTCTCTAAGGGGCGGGGTCTCGTCAGGCACCAGGTACACGACTCGTTGCTACTATACATGCCATGGGGATAGAGATGCATTGACGAAGACGAAGACGAAGACGAAGACGAATGCGAATGAAATGCGGGTCACGCGCATCCTAAACTGGATGCGGGCGCGCGAACGTCTATGAAGTGGACCTGTGGGGACTTGGTCAGGGCTGAATCCAGTACGTTTGTGGACGACCTGGTACAAACGGCGAGGTGACTATACTATTGATCAAGTCCAAAACAGGCTTCATTCAGCCCACAGAATAGGCCTTGGGAAGAGCAGAGAAGAGGCTACACTGGGTGCATAGTCAGCTGTGCCAGCACCCCACGGAGGCGACGACATCCAATCGTCATACATCGCGATCCGGGGACTAGAGATGCCCTCGACTCAGTTTGCCGCTGGAACAGCGCATATACAATGTGTCTGCTCCATCTCAAACACATGACTTGGTATCCCCACCCGCGCGCTGCGAACGTATGGCCTGAAACAAACGTCAGAGTTACACGGCATTAATACACTACCCGGTCTAGCCAAGCTTCCGCTTGCGATCGAATCGCGAGACGCGCCTGCAATATCGTTCTGCGGTGCTCTTCGGAGAATTTGGGGGGTATGCAGGGCTTGTGTGGTGGCGGGATACCTCTTCTACATACTCGTTGCAGTACCCCAAACTTTAAGCGCAACACCAGGACAAACATTACCAGCAAGATGAAAGTTCTGCACGAGCATTATGAACAACCAGACTGGGAAACACAAGAATCATGGCTTGTGCACTGTGCTCAAAGAACATGATTTTACTGTCGGTACGTACTTCCCCTTAATCTTCAATGCATGTCTCACTTTGAGAGTAAAGTACTATTCACTCGTATTCTGTCAGATTATTTACTGTCTAGCCCAAAGCAATAATGGCACGCGCGCTTGGTGTAACAGACCTTGCCTTGGACCGGACCATATCCTCTTCCAGACAGCCATGCATTTGTACTACTGCTAGCCGGGGCTCACATGTCTAACTCGCTAAGCTGCAGCATCTGACTGACAGGACGACCATGGCCAAACATGGGTACGAATGCCTCCTGCAACCACTTCTCTTCTTCACAGTCACACAGTCGCGTGGGCGCTTCGACCCTGGCCCTCGGTTCTCCAAATCTCGTTCAAGATTATGGTTTCGGTCATATCCGTCAATATGCATCTTTCCTGCGTTTTGGTTTGCTATGTGTTCGTCTCCTGTCTCATGAGAATTCCGACAGTTCGGCATGCCGAAACTATTCTCGTATGTCTTGCTTTTCCACCCGTCACTATTACCCCTCCCGAAGAGTTTCACTACCAATACAACTGTAGCGAGAAACACCTCCTATCAAACCAACTGGGCGTTCTGCAAGCCACTTCTTATATAGCAAGACCAAGCGCTGTCGTACAGCGCCTGTTATCGGGCTCTAATAGAGTATTCGGCTACCCATAAGCACGGGAATCTCGGGAGCCAGGGCGCCCTGTCTGGATATGACTATTTGCAGCAGCTACCTAAATGGAAGTACTGCATATCGAGGACTGGTTTGTAGAGGATAGCGGGAGCCAGGGCCTCATGTCACCTCCGAGGCGACATGCAGGTAGGCGGCGCAGGAACCCGTTCGTAACGAATCTCTAGCGCTGAAAGCAACATCATGACATCTTACCGACGTCAAGTGAGAAGCGATGTCGGACTTGGCGAGAACAAAGCGTGGGGACCTGTGACTGTGGACTGGGTACTGACTGTGATGAAGAAATGACTGGCTCGGCGCGTTCGAGAAGAAAAAGCCACTGAGCACTGTTGTTACCCCTGACTAAAAGAGTTCAGAGAAAATTTGGTCGTTGTTCGCTTGGACGAATCTCCCGCTGAACTAACAATTGTGGGTTTTCACATTGAACTTTCGGTACTGTCAGTGTATCACTCGCAGGTTTTGACACAGTGACGTTTCAAGGCATCCCGCACGACGTCTCTTCAGCCTTTCTCAGTCAGATAGAGCAAGCCTAACGATTATGTAATGAACGCATACGAGATGTTCAGTCCAAGTCGTATCCGACGACGTTTGTCAATACCGTCGATTCAAGGAAGATGCTGGGACGAGTATTGTTGCTGATATACTATATTTACTTCGCCGACGATCAGCATGCGCGGATTCATTCCCTTTCTATTTGGGGGACGGAATTACGTTTCGTGCCGTCCGGCGCTCTCATCTACATGCCCACTGCAGATTCTCCACACGCGTACCACAGCACTCGAAGAACGGGGTGAAACTGTTCTGTAATACTACATCGGCTCTGCGGTGCTCACAAACACCGCGTCGACTAACATACACGTGTATTTCCAATACTGTGGAGATAGCTTGCAGATGGTAACACCAACATCACAGCCCAAATGCAACACTGCAAAGTTTGTCCCTGAGGAGCACATGAACGTTTACCCGTGTGTTTGGAGTCGCACAAAACGCCACCGGCATCACGACATGGAGCATTGTCGCGCTCCGGACCGCG